CTAACGAGAAAACCTCGCAAGTAAACAAAAGTGTGGAGACCTTCGCCGAAAACAACCGTCTGAGACTAAATGCCTCAAAGACGAAGGTCATGCAAATTCACACCGCTCAGACAAAGAAGTTGGAAAAACCTTCTGTTCAACTTAACAACACGGAAGTCGAAGTGGCGAATGAGAGCAAGGTTCTGGGTGTAATATTCACTGACACAATGAACTGGCGTGCACAGTGCGAATATGCGAGTGGGAAACTAAGAAGTGCAACATACTTGTTTGTGAAAATGGGCAAGAGAGTGCCTAAGAGTAGTCTCAGACAGGTATACTTTGCATACGTGCAAAGCCATATCTTGTACTCGATTATTATCTACGGTGCCTCCCCATACTTTAATCTTGTCGCTATCGCGCAAAAACGGGTGCTGCGGGCTATGGCTGGCAAACGGTACTGGAAAGGACCCGATCCACTTGAGTCATGCAGACAACTATTCAAAGACTTTGACATCCTCCCAGCGTTTTCCTTGTACATATTGGAGTGCGCGAAGTTTGTAAAGAAATACCCTGATAAATTTGCCAGAAACAATGAGGCAGAGGAAGTTCACGTCTACAATACGAGAAACAAGCCAGTGAACGATGAAGACCTTCACATACCCCCAGTGACACTAAACTTGACAGCGCAAAATCCGGCGGTCATGATCGCTCGAATTTACAACCACTTGCCTGCCGAGTTAAAACAAATTGAAGATCTAAAGACATTCACCCTGAAACTGAAACAAGTGCTAAGTGAACACAACTTCTATGACATACACGAATACTTACTGTGCAGTTTTGACAAGTGAAATTTCTCGCGCTAATCTTATAGTTTTTTCCCTTTGCCCTAAGCAACGGGTTTTTTTCTCTAAATTTTAATTTTAGACCTGACATGTTCTAAAGACTACTGTTAATATTCTTGTCTAACAGAACAACAATAAAATTGAATTGAATTGAATTGAATTGAGCAAAAAGCGAGTCACAAAAAAGGACCGTTTTGAAAGCAAGCATAGTTCATAGGTGAAGAAACGTCTCTCGATCTCTTTTTTGCCCTTTGCAGGTGCAACACAAATTCCTGGACGATTCGTTGAGCTGCTCCGAATTTTCACACTTGATCGCTGTCCCACGCCTTTCTCCCATTAGACACAATTAGTCTGCCTGCACCATTGTTGTATAATTCGAGACTAAATTTGCAGACCAGCGCGCGTCGATTACGAAAGTGGTATGATTTTTTTTTCATCAGTTTTGTCGGTTCCTTTCTCGCCCTCCGTTGCACTGGTGGAGTGAAAGGTAGGTGTGTTATGGGATTTCAATTTGAGCCAGAGTGGAATAAAAAGTGTCGTTAATTGTTAAGTAAATTTAAAGTCTCGGCAAAATTAATTTTTTTGATCTCAAAAACTGGCTCTATTGGAATAGAATCTATTTGTTTTAAAATGCTCAATTAATTTTGGGATAGAATTACATTTTAGGGCAAATAATTTTTGAAACATTTATGAGGTTTGTAATTAGGGGCAACGCGGGTCTCCCCATTTCAGACCTTTGAAATCCTAAAATAACATTCGAATAACGTAATTAACTAAACAAGAAACTGAATGAGAATGGATGAGAATACGAAAAACATTACATAATTATAACAGACTATACAAATATCGAAAATTGAACACAGAGAGTTGCTTGAAATTTTATGCAAAATATAAATTTAATTTAATATTTTTTACATTAGTTTGATGTTTGATTTGGAAAGAATTGAAATACAGAAAAGTAAATATTTTAATTTCTATTAATAGAGATATGTATAAAAATGTTTTAAATATATAATTATATAAAAATTGCTTTATAAAAATTGAACAAAAAAAATATCGTGTTTATTTATTTAAATTTTAATGACGTTTTCAGCTTGCAAAAAGAAATGGCAAGAAAAATTTAAATGAAAAATACAAACACTATAAATTGTATCACGGACCTGACGCGGGTTGCACGTCGCGAATATTATGTTGTGAAATGGCATCTCTCGCACGCCTCAGAAATCGCGCCTTTTGAAATGCCGGTCGAGATTTTTTGCTGATATATTAAATCCGCACCTATGTTTGTTTGGTGTTGTAGGTCAGTGTTTTGTTCCTGATTTCTATATAGCGCGATCAAGAATGTGAGCTTGCTAATTTTTGCATGAGTTCTCGGGATCAAGATAACTCTAATTGTGCTAGAAGAAAACTGCCTTGTTTAACACGCTTTTGCTCTGTAATTTCAAGAACTCGTCTAGAAAAATGTTAATTTTGTGGTTGCTTAATCTAGGAATAGTACTTTCTTTCTTAAACGATTGTGTTGGCTTCTGAATTTTTCTTACTATAATGAAAAAATTTGGTCCCACATTTTTTTTTTTTTTTTTTTTAATTACTTTTCAATTGTATTTAATGTCTAAATTTTTTTATGAGACTTCTTAAAATATTTTGATTTGGTTTCATTGTTAAAATTATGTGAAAATTCTAAATCTTATATTTTTCAAAAAAACATTTTAAGTTTCAATTTTAATCGATGTACTTTTTGAGTCACCATTGAGAGCCGCCTGATGTGTAAAAGAAGTGTATCAATTCCAAAATTACAAATGAGAACGTGAGAATTATAGCGTTTGGTTTTGCTCCAAATTGAACGTTAACAACCGCAAATGTAATAAAAGTTAAAAGTATAACAACAACAACAAATCAACATATTTGCGCAATAAAATTTGCATTTATATTTATTTTCCCTTAAAATAAATTGGAACTTGTCAAGAGAAAACTGTAGAAAAATGGCAAAGATTTCCATTTTTATTGCGGCAAATAAAAATCTCACAAGCACTAAGTAAGTGTTCTTGTTTTTATTTGCTCCCCGATGTATAATTTCCGGGTTTGTGGAAGTTTGTTTATCTCCCACTGACGTAGATGCGATATTTGCTGTTATTGCGCGAGAAAATTGTATGACGCAGCCTCTTTTTTCGTTGCTATAATAATTCGCCGCGAGGAGCGAGTCTGGCTAATTGAATAATTCATAAAATAATAAATACGCACGAGTCACGCGAAATGAGCATTCAGCGTGCGTGCAATGGGATAAATGGTTCGAGGTTTATCTTTTTCATTCTCCATCGGAAGCGCCGAGAGATTCTATAATTCAAATAAACAGCACAATTCTCAGCTCTTACTTTTCTACAGGCAAAACAAACAGTAGAACGTGATTTAGCCGCATTTCTATTTGTTTGGAATCCCATTAATGAGAAAATCTCTCGCATTTGTTAATAAACGTTTTCTACTTTTTGTGTGTTTTGGGAAATTAGCAAAATTTGTGGTTTATGCGGATTTATGAATATTAATGGATTTTACAAAATCGCGTAAATACATTAATTTTTATTTTGCTAAGTTGCAGATTTTTCCATTTACGAAGGAAGTCCTAGTAAAACCTTTTTTTAAATTTTATATCTTACATTAATCAAAGGCTATCACAGAAGTGCGTTAAGAATTTTAATTTTGGTGTCTTACGTCACGTTTTCCATTCAACTAGCGGTGAACCATAAAACTTGAATACAAACCTTCTAGGGAATTGTATCATTTTTTTTTTTTAATTAGAAGTGTGGGCATGTATTATTAATGTTTTTAATTTTGTAAGTGTTTTCTACACTCGGTTTTTCATTAAAAAAAAAGATATTGTAACGTGGATCAAGAAACTGAACGATAAAAAAAATGCTTGGAAAGCAAATTAAAACGTGCAAATTTCAACTTTTAATTCGAAATTTCCATTCTTTTCAAAAACAGTTTTGGATTCATTATTAATTATTCTTCTTTCTGTTTACAAAAATTAATTTTTCCATTTAAAACTCTAAAATTACAACAAACAGCAACACAGGATCATAGTTTTTCTTAATGAAAGCTCATCAGTTAGCGTTTTCCAACATGAATCTCGAACTCTCAACTGAGAATCTCGGACAGGTCAAGTCAGAATCTGTTTAGAAAAGAATTAAAATTTCCAATTAAGAGTTGAAATTTGGACATTTTAATTCGTTTTCCAAGCATTGGTTTTCTTGATCAGTTTCTGAATTAACATCTTTAAAAAAATTAATATATTAAATTTTTTTATAACGAAGTGACTTATTTTTTTTTATTCTTTGGAAAAAAATTTAATTTTTTATCCACATCAAAATTTCAGATTATTGTTATAGTTGCAATGTGTACTTCTGTAATCTTGTGTGATAGTCACAAATGATAAAATAAAAATTTAAATCAAATTATAATTTTGAAAAAATGAAACATAAAAATGTTCCTATTTGACATCAGACAAGGCGGGAGAAAGTATCAAAAATTAAATGTCGCTCTGGGCATTTGGATCGTTGGACGTGATTATTCTCAGTGCCTCATTGTCTGCGCAGTGATCTGAAAAAGTTACGGAACCAATTGATACGTGCAGCTCTGCTCCTCCAGTGATGTAACAGCAGAGAAGTGCACGAGCCTTACTCGTACTTTTGCCCAGCGGCGCGCTGCAATTACCAAACCGTTACAATAGTAAACACCTGATTTTTTTTCTCAATGGGCACCCAGCACGCTCAAGCACTTCCTCTCACTCTTTGGAATATTTTTCAATCAGCTTATGTGGTAGCTCAAGGCCCAATTAAATCATTTGCTCGGTGCTAATTAGAGTCAGCTTCAAATGGCAAATATTTAAACTTTGGCTTAAAAACAGTTGCTCAAATGTTTGACATTTGAATTGCAGAGGTGCGAATTCAATATAATTTGGCTCTTACTTTGTTACTTTGACACAAATATAAAAAAAATATTAAAAATAATGTAAGTAATCCTTTTAACATTGATTTTGCAAAAACTCTAAAACCGGCTTTCCACATTACAATTAAAAATAAATATAAGTTAAAATTGTTTTTAATTTAATTCCAAGACTGATTGGTATTCTAGTTTATTATTCATTTAATATTTGATTACACAATGGCCTTCCGAGCAAGCAGGAATTTCTCTGCACCGACGCTGTTGTTTCATTTGCTAAGTCTGCGCTGAACTTGCTCCATTGCTCGGAGCCCCAAGTTTTGTGAGCTAACTGCGTCATTACCATTACATTATTCAACTAAACGTTGGCAATTGAACAGGTGTGGCCTAGGGCGGTGTGAAAATTAGTTTCAATTAAGTTATGGCACCGCAACCATTAATCAAGCACAGCCAGCATGAACAAATTACACCTTGACGCTAGAAAAGTTTTTCATTTATCTGATTAAAATATTATTTTGTAATGTAATTTTTTTTAAATCTATTACAGGATTTTGTAACAATTATAAATTAATAGATTTAAATTTTTTTTATTATGTCTGTTCCTGATCTATTTGACCATAAATTTATTTGCACTGCTTTTGTATCTTTTCGAGGAGCATTTCAAGTCTATCTTTCATCACAGGCTGACCTTTTTTTGTCTTCTTGGAAAGTTTCCGAAACCTCTCAGCCTTCTTTGCCTTGTATTCAAGCAACTTCTGCTCCTTCTCGGCTTTTTTCATCTCGAGTTCCTTTTTCTTATCTTCCTTCTGCTGGCGGATCCTTTCAAACTCTTGCCGCACTCTTTGGGATGTTGAAACTTTACCACTAGGAGGCCTAAAAATTGAGCAATTTAATGAAGCGAATATGAAATAAGCAGTTCAATTTTACATTTTTTGCGAATGTTGATTTTGTTGCTCACTGCTGACATTTTTTGCCTCATCCGAATCAGACGTTATTGCTGCCGGATCCAATAATGGTTTGCCTTGAATGTGTTTCAGCTCTTTGTAGTAGTTTCTCATAACCTTCTTTTTCCTTCGTTCCTCAAATTGCTGCACTGAAACAAAAGGTTTTTTCAATGAAATTGTATGGGAAAAATTTGTGCGATTTTTATTTACCTTTGAACTTGTGGCTGAATTTTCGTTCTCGCCACTTTTTCTTGTCAAATCCTTTCTTCTCACCACCTTCATTCTTTCCCTTAACGTTTGTCTTCATTTCTGACGGCACGGATTGAGGGAAAACTTCAGAAGAAAAGAAAAATTAAAACAGGATCCACTAAAGTCATCAAAATCAACACGTGAGTTGAGAAACAAATACAAATCAATTACCAACATAACAAAATATTTTATTTACATGCACATAAACTTTTCGATGATATTTTGTTACAATAATCATTGAAAAGTGACTGAAAATAACGATTCAAATAAATTGCCGTTAATTTGTACGAGAAATGAATAAATAAAGTAGGTAATTATGGGAAATAAAAAAGGAGTATCTTAATTTAGTTGGCAACAGTGTTTAAGATCATCTGCTGCGCTCGCCATCTTTGTTTTGCCAGAATTTTGCTTTCTGCGGAGAGGAGTGCATTTTTAGAGTTAAAACTTGCACTTTTACAGTGGTAAGGATTTATTATTGTGGCTAATTCTGTTAAATTTAAGTTAAAATATTTTTGTCAATGTTTTCATAATGTAAAAAAAGCTTTAAACCTCCGATCTTAAAAGATAACAATGGAATAAAATGCTCATACATTTTCGTGACTTGCTCCGCTGAGGAGTTATGTAAATAATTTCTACTAACATACCCTCTAAAAAATTCAATCTGGCTTTTAAATTTACGATGTTACACACGCAGTAAATTTTATAGTAAAATAATCATCCATCCTTTTGATCTGATTTGCCATTTTCATCGATTTTTCAGTTTTCTGCCTAGAAGAAAGCAATCATGGACGACTGTTACTTTTACTACTATTCGTCGTGCTTGAAGGTGTTTGCATTGATTTCTTTAAAATTCCCAGCAGATTGTTAACGTATATTTTGAATTTCAGGGCGACGCTTGTCCCTTCAGGCACGAGCCTAGCGCGCTTGGCAAAGAAACCGTCTGCAATTTCTGGAAGCAGAGACTCTGCAACAAGGCTCACTGTCCGTTTCGCCATATGGATGTGAAGGTAAATTCTACACATTTCTCAGCAAATTTCTTGAATTTGTAACGTGTCTGAAATTTTCTCCAGGTGGACCGCAGCACAATACCGTGCTACTGGGAAACGCAGCTCACTGGTTGCCGAAAGCCGCACTGTCCTTTCCTGCACCAGAGCAAGTCTCTCTCCAGCGACACGGAGAATGGACAACCTTGTGAGTTATTGAAATTTATAAATTTCCCTGCGTTTAGTGTAAATTTGTTCCAGGAAAAATTTTTAAATTAGGTCAAATCAAAACTTTTTTAAAAGGGTTTTATATTTTTGAAAATTGAGGATTTTAATGTCTTGTTTTCAAAGAATTAATTAACATTATCATTATTTCAGTGATTTTGCCTGTGAAAAGTGGTGCAGATTCGGAGCCAGTCGAGACCTCGATTGCTCAAAGTTCGATTCCCCAGTTGAGCTCAAGCTTTGATCCGCTCGTTGTGAACTTCGAAGAAGGTATGAGATTTCTGTGAACCCAGTGGTCAATCTGTGCATGCTTTCTTGTATGATTATTAGTGCATGTTTTGGCTTGAGAAAAGTAAAACGCTTCTTTTGTAATCTCTTCTGCAAATCTCTATCTGCATGTGTATAAAATTGCAAGCTTTGCTTTTTGTATTGCTTATCTGCTGAATAAATTTCCTACTTTGCACTTTCTCTTGTTTTTGTTTTTTATATGTTATTTGCAATTATCAGGAATGTGGAATTTTTATAAAAAAATTTAAATAACCTTTTAAGATGAGACTTTTTGAGCAAAACAAAAAAAATCGTTCCACTTCCTGTCGTCGATTCTTGTTTCTTCATGAATCATCCTGTCACTGATTCGGTCAATCAAGAGCAACATCAACAACAGAATGACAATTTGTAAGATACAGTTTTTGTGAAGCATTAGATAATAGAATTCATGAGAGAAATTCAATTTATTTTAAAATTATTCTATTTAAAAATCATTTTTTTTTCCCATCCAATAGATGTTGCATGAGAACTTGAATTTTTCTTAAAAGTAAAATTTTTAATGCTTAAAGAAAATTGTAATCTACATCTCATTTTTCTGTTGTCGATTTTGTGAAGCAAACACATCTAAGAAGAAATCTGCTGCTTAATGAAGAGTCACAATCATAGTCAACAAAAATGAGTGCACAGTTTTTGTTTTATTCAATTTTTTTTTTAATTGTAAGTAATCTTTGTATTTATTATCATATTTTTGGAATTATTAACATTTATTCTGGCTCTTAAAAGTTGTTTTAATATTAATATCTTTTTAAATTGCTTTCTGTATCTTTTATTCGATTTAGATAAAAAAATTCACAGTCGATTAATTAAGCTTGTCCTACTTTCAGAGTCCGACAACGAGAGTGTGCCTTCAGTATCGCCACTAAAGTCATCTCGCTTGCGAAACGCGCCCAAAACGCTCGAGCAAATAAGACTGGAGAAAATTCAAGCCGAGTCTGCCGCCTTTTACAACTACGAGACCCAGCAGCAGTTTGTGGGCCGAGAAAGCAACTTGTCCAACAGGCTGGACATCGACTGCCGAGCAAGACTAAGGGAGAAACAGAATCCAGAAAGCAGAGCGGTTGGTCCTGAGAAGAGCCAGGATTTGCGGGCAGTCATGTTGTCGAAACGGATGCAGGCGCAGCAAGAAGAGGCCAAGACTTCGACCAACGTTGAGAACATCAAGGTTCTGAGCATCGATGAGATTCGAGAGAAGAGGAGGAGGAAAATGGAGGAGCAGGAGAAAGAGGCCCAAGTGAATCCTCCGGTCCGGGTGCCCAAACAGAAAATCACTTTCGGCAGCGAAGAGGAAACCGAAGTCAAATCGCCTCCGAAGAGAAAAATTGAAGTCAACCCTCCAGTTCCTGAAAATGCTCCGAGCGCGGCCGCCAAGAAAATCAAAAGGGCGATTTCTCCGGTCGTGTTCGACGTTTCGGAAAAGGTGAAAAAAGTGAAGAAGTCAAAGGAGGAAAAGAAAAAGAAGAAGCACAAGAAGGAGAAAAGAGACGCGGACGTGTCAAGAAAAATAAATGTCCTTCCTACCTCCGAATCAAAGTTTCCCAACATCCAAATCACAGCCAACCTGACCAGCCCCACAAAACCCACCGTGGCTGTTGTTGCGAGAAAGAGGGTGATTTCGGCCGACGAGACGGCGCCACCAGATGTGTTCAAGAGATTGAAAAAAGAGCCCCAGAGAAAGGAGGCGACCGAGCCAAAACGGAAAAAGCCCGAGAGGCCGCTGTGGAAACCATCTAGGTTGGTCAAGACCGAAGAGCCAGAAGGGGAACCGAAACCAGCGCCGGTCCCGAAGGCCAGATTGAATGTTGCGGCGCCGGTTTTCACTCCGAAGATACAAATTTTATCTTCAATCATCAAACCTGCGACATCCGCAGAGAGTAAACCAGTTCGGGTCATCAAGCTGAAAAAGCCAACTGCGTCTGAGCCTGTTGTCGAACCAAAGCCAGAAGTTGAGAAAGTCGCCGAGCCTTCGACCTCCAAGCTTTCGATTGAGATCCCGAAATCGCCTCAGAGGAGTCTCAGCCAGTCCATCAGCATTGATGATGAGTTCGATCTTCTCTCTCCGTCCTCGAACCCTGACGACTCCTTCCTGAGGGCTTCGGATGACAAAATACTGGAAGACATAGACGCTTTGCTGAACGAGTAACACTTAAAAGATACTAGAACTTTTGTTATTTAACACTGGTTGTTATGAATTTTATAACATTTGCAAACTGCAATCCGTACTGCTCGGAAAACATCACCCGATCTCTCACTGAAATTGTTAAACTTTGGCGTTTTTATCTCCACTAGGGAATGTTTTAGCTGTTGAATAAACCATCTCCCAATTTTAGCAGATCAATTTAGATCACGTGCCATGCATGTGTGTTTTTTTTAATTTTGTTTGCCTCTACGGGCTGTAAAGTGCCCCAAACGTTTTTTGTGATGATTGTATTTTTAAATTTTAACTAACTCTCCTATATATTATTTGAATTAAAATATCTCTGAACTTGTGAATATGAACTAAAACTATTAGTACCAGTTTTTGTAAATAAAGAATAAAATTATTCTTTGTAACATGTGAATTATGTGTTTTCATTATTTATTTAAGTCAGGTTCAAACTGAAAGTAAAATCAAAATTTAAGTAACACCAGATGAAGGTATGGGCTGCTCTTTATTCTGATACTGGAGTGCTGCATATTTACAAATTGAAGTGATTCACATTCAAGCACATTTTTACAAATTGGAGAATCCACATTTTTCCAGCTCACAATCCTCATGCCTTAATTATTTACCTCTTGTGTACAATAATAATAATAATTAATTTCTCAGCTTAAAATGCTGATTTCCATTGGAAAACACAAACATTTTTCCATAATGAGAGATCATTTCATATGTCATAATAATTAAGTACAGTGTTTCTTATTTTCTCTTCCCATATAAATGATTTTGGTATGGTAGATAGTCTTCGATAAATCTATATAATGCACTAACTTTACTTTTTCAAAATAATAATAAACTATGGCTCAATTTTTGATAAAATGCCACTTTTCATTTACAAAAAAATTTATGCGACCCTTCTCAATATTGCTTGAAAGTCAAGGGCTTGACAAAATATTTAATTAATTCAACTTAATCCGGAGATAAACTTTGATCTTCCTCGGCTGACACGAGTGAAATCGATGATAATAATGATAATCCTAATTGTAAGTATATCATACAACACAGTGCTTCACATAGTAATTAAAAACTAGTTCGAGTCCGATTTTCGAGTTGATCAGGCAGTCTCAGGTTCCGGCGGCTCGATGGGTGGTGGTCCGAGCGGCGGCGGCTGCCACTGCTGCACTTCCGAGTAATGTTGCTCGTTGCTGTTTGCGTCGTTGCTGGCCAGGTTGCTCGCTGACGAAGTGGCCCCAGGCGACGAGTCGGCGGCGCTCAGGGCGCTGCTCTGCTCGGCCATGGGGCACAACGAGTCTCAGGCCCACCACTGTCACTGGAGCCGCGGCCAGTACTGACTGGTCATGTCTCCGGGCTGACCGGGAACGGCGATCGGAACAGAAACGCCTGGAGAAATCAAACCTGAAAATGGACCAAAATTAGAAAATTTAAATTAAATTTATTGGTAAAAAGCAGAGACAGTTTCCCAAAAGAAAATCATAAATTATCCATTAAAGAAAACAATTAAACAAAAATTGCAAAATTAAGTATAAAATATAATGCATTTGTATTTCTTCTCCTGTAAAATTGTATACACTTGATGTGTTTAATAAATTTGTCTCCCTAAATACATCATGTAATTTAATGCAAAAAAAATTAAATTAATATTTGAATTATTAAATTTTTATGGAGGTTTTAAAAAATGTAACTGGTAATTATATTATTATATAAGAATAAAAGATTTAAATTTTATATTATTGAATATTTACTCAATTATTTTCATGAGGAAAAATAGAACCGAACAGAAATTAACCGAAGAGAAAGCAAAATAAAACCATTTCAATATTTACCCAGTTTACCTGTTGAAGAGGAGCCATTTGTGCCGTACTGGCCGTTCATGCCCTGATAGGCTTGCGAAGGGCTGCAGGGCGACGGCCTGCCGTAAGGACCGAGGCCCAGAGGGTCACCGTAGTGTGAAGGTCGCGTCATGCAGGCGTAGGTCGGGTCACGCTGCTGCAGACAGGAGGCGGGCGGCACGTGGCCCATGCTGGCGCCCTGGTTGGCCATGCTGAAGCTCGGCATTGGGGTCATCGGACCACTGAAACAACAGCAATAAGATTTTTTAATTAAAATTTGCTTTTTAATTCCATTATTTAATACAAACAAACAAGAGATGAGATGGCCCTATGGAAATTTTGGAATCAAATTAAATCTAGTTCACTGATGGCAAAGGCAACTTTAAATTATTTAAAAAAAGCAATGTTATTTGGAATTCCAATGAAATTCTTTTTTTTCAGTTTAATTATTTTAATAAAATTTATTAGTGAATAAATTAATATATATGAAATAAAAATTTATAATTTAATAATAAAAAATAAAATTATAATATAACTTTGAATAATAATTTATTTAATTTTTTAGTGTTGATTTAAATTTAATATACAAGTTATTTTATAAGTCAAATTCTAATCATTCTACAAAATGACAAAAAAATAATTTGAAAATTAAAATTAACTATGCAACTTGACAGACACGCCTGTTTAGCAGGTTGCCTATCGCTGAAAGTTCGGCAATTATAAAATCCAAAGCAACTCACTTGTAAGTATCGGCCATGGTCATCGACGGAGGCGGGGGGATGGAAGGGTACATGGGGCTGTTGGAGAAGCTGGTGGTGCCGTTGACGAGGCCCCTGGTGGGCGAGGCGCCGCCGCTGCCACCCTGGTGCAGGTGCGAGGGCGCGTGTTGCTCGGGCGGAGGGGCCGCGCCGCCCCTGCGCTGGTTGCGCAGCTTCTCCTCGCGCCGCCACTTTGCTCTGCGGTTGCTGAACCAAACCTGCTGACCACACGCACTCTCGTTAGCCCACCACTGGTCACAAACTACCCTGTCTACCCAGCTTGCCTTTTGAAATTGAGAGATGTTTGTGAGTCATATTAGATTTTTATTAATCGTTAATATTAACCTTAAACATTAAATTAATCTAAAATTTCGTTTGCAAAAAGCAAATAATTTCATCAGTAAACGATTAAAATTTTTGCTTTCGACAGTTCAAGTTGATTTGTCTATAAAATTGTTCAAATTATGAAGGAAAATTCCTCGCTGGGATTTAAGTTGTTTTATTTGCTGTGTGATATTAATTTTTCTTGCTATGTGAATAAATTATGCTAATTAATAAATAAATAAAATTAAATTTTGGCAAGTTTCTTTCTCTTACCTGTATTCGAGCTTCTGGAAGTCCAATTTTTGCCGCCAGCCTTTCGCGGGCAAAAACATCTGGGTAGTGCGTTCGTTCAAATTCTGTGGAAAAAAGAGTAATTTATTTCGTTAATGAATTTTTACTGTGCAGAGTGTAAGTAGTGGTGATTTGTAATTTTATTCAACCCAATATTTCATTACAAAATTGATTTTTACAAATTTTGTTGCTGATTGGTCAAAATATCTGAGACTCTAATCAACATTTTAGCTATTTTGATACTTTTCTCAGAGTTTCTAATCATTCGGCAGAATGCTGGTTTTTACTCTTATATCTTTTATCTTATTAATTCAGAACAAAATGACGACAAAATGAAATTAAAAAGTACTAATATTATAGTAATTATCTAGAAATTCTGGTTAAAAAGGTGTTTATTGTTTAAAAAATAATATTTGAATTTTGAATTTAAAAATTCATTTGTGGAATGAAGAGACTTTTCGTGATTTTGACGTAAAACAAAGAAAGTTAAATAAAACAAAATATTAATAAAAATACTTTGTACTTTAAGGAACGTCAAAATCTATTTTTATAATAACACGAATTTGTGGCTGATAAAAATTTCAGTCCATTATGGTGAAAGAGTTAAAAGAGCGTCGCTATCAAAGAAAATGCAAATATTAGCGCTGGCGCGGGAATCAAAGGGTTCAAGTAGGTGAGGCGCGAAAGAGGAGGATGTGTTGCGTGAAAGGAGGCGATGGTTTGAAGTATAAAAAAGATGATAGAGACGCGACCGGATAGGACAAGGCGGCACTTCTTCTTTCTTATCGATAATCAATACTCGTTGCTTCCGAGGAGCAGCTGAAAAAATTCTGCTCCCCGCGCGCCGCGCTGTCTTTTCTCGCTCTTTTGCATATTGAAACAGAGTGTAAAGAGGATGAATCCATCTGCAAACTTTCCCTCACCCAATTCGGCCGAGATCAATCGCACCCCCGCCGTTCACTCTCACCTTTCTCCAGACTCTCAATCTGCTCGTTAGTGAAGGAGGTCCTGTTCCTCTGCAATTTCCTCTTGAGCCGCAGACGTGCCTGGTCATCGTCGGTGCATCCTCCGGGAGAGTCGGGCCCGTTCGAGTTGTCGCCAACCGAGTTGGTCTCGTCAGAGGGGACAGCGTCCAAATCTGTCACTGCAACAGAAACATTTCAAAATAAAATTATCTGAGCATTCAGAAAACAAGTCAAATTTAAAGTGCTAAAAAATTACTTAATTATTTTATTTCAACTTTCTTCCACATTATTTTTGTTTTATTATTATATTTATAATTTATGCATGAATTGTTTTGCAACATTCCTGAGTGTTGATTTTTATTTAATTTTCATGTATTTATGGAATTAATTTAATTAACAAATCAAATGCTTCATGAACTTTCTGAAGTTTCTGTTTGGAAAATTGACTTAAGGGCTAAGGTTGAATATTTATGTAAATTTCAAATTTTTTAATACACCTTGGATTAAATGATCGCTTTAACGAATATTTATTAGTTAAAATAAATTTATAAAAATATTAACTGATAATATGAATAATATTTATAGTGTTTAAAAGTATTTTATAAAGTCTTTTTTAAATAAAATATTATGAAATTATAAGGAAATTTTTTTTTACAGAATAATTTTAAAAATTTTTACATTATTTATTGATCAAATTTATTCTTTTATTATTGTGTATTAATTATTGCTCCCTTATATTGTTAAAAATATATTCCATTTTTAACATTGAAGACTGTTCCTCCTAATACAGTATTTGAAATGCTCCACTTCTTTCAAAATTTGAATACATAGACAATAAATATCTGAAAAGTAAAAGTTTACTTTTATTCTAAAATGAAATTGTTTTGTGATTTCTTCCCGTTGAAGCTTTTTCCCTAAGACTTTTCTCTCCCCTCAGTACATCTTCCAAAGTCGCTGCTTATCTTTGGGAAACAAAGTACCATGGAGATGGAATATACTCTGGATGTTTTAACTCCTGCAACAACTACGCCGCGGTGTAAAATATTTTGCCTTTTAGCATCGCATAAACTCTTATCACTTTTCAGTTTTCCATTATATATGCTCTCGGCGCAGGTTCCGCTCTGTTTATAAATTCTTCTTCGCGGGGAAATTTATATTTTGCACGCCAGGCACCAAAGGGGCGAGATATAAATATATTTTGGGGTGGTTTGCACGCGAGGACGAGATAACGCTCGGTGCGGCGTCGTCGTCGGTCTCTCTCCCTTTATTACTAAATAATATTACGGGGAGGCGAGAGAGAGAGAAAGCTAGTTGGTTGCTGGCGAATATTGCGGAGGAGATGTTACGGGCGTGACCGTTCAGCCAGAAACTGGCTGATAAGAAAACCTTTTCTCTACCCCTCATCTGCTACACAAATATTATATTCGCACACTCGCTGCGGCGCCGACGAGGAAGAAGAAGAAGAAGCGCCTCCAGCACGCGCCGAAATATTAAATTCTCTCTCCTATTAGTTTGCGCCGGCGGATTTTAACGACGTCTGCAACTTTGTAATTAAATTATACACATTTCAGCGCTGATTACATCTTATATATGCGTGCTTTAACTTCAATATTTGTTTGCGGTGCTATTTCTCCTTTTTTTCTTCCGTTTGCTCATCTTGAATTTTTTATTTGAATGTGTTTATTTTTTTTCCGTCCTTGGTAAGGGATAATATGACCGTTAAATGCGAGTATAATTATAATTTCATTATATCAAAGGCGTATCATTTTGAAGGGGTTCGAAAAGTAACAACTCAATTGTTATATTATTGTCGGTGCCGGGAGGGTTGGAAAAGAAATGGCGCTCTGCTCATGAGAGTTTGCAGAACCTGTTCCTTTCCTTCCTTCAAAGTTTCTCTTTAACTTATTCAGAAGAAAAGCAGACGCCACCATTATTTCAACCCCGTCCACAAGCTGATAAAAAAAAATTGTGCCGGACGTCAAGAGAGCAATGGTGGATGAGCAACTTTCAAGTTGAGTGTCTACTTGTTGACGCTGTGATATGGAAATAACCGCGTGAACTGTGATGGAGATGTGTTTACGTCCACATTCAAATCAACCACCTTTTTATATCAAAGGACTCGACACAGTCGTTATAGCTTTCATGGCTAGATTTTTGATGTTTGCACACAAGAAGAGATCGAATTAAATGAATTGTTGATGTTCATTTGGTACTATTTTTATTCATTTTTGTTTCAATTTCAGTAATCGGACTTTTTTGTAACATTTTAAACTAATTAAGTTAATTTCACTAGACAATGGGTGGGTCCGAATATCAGAGAAACGATTCTTGAGAAACGTTTCTCGACAAAAGATTCTGGAGAAACGTTTCTCGAGAAATGATTCTTGAGAAACGATTCTCGCGCAAGGATTCTCCAGGATCGTTTCTACCTTTAAAATTCAACTAAAGAATCGTTCCTTGAGAATCTTTTCTCGAGAATCGTTTCTCCAGAATCATTTCTCAAGAAACTTTTCTCCAGAATCGTTTCTCTGATATTTGGACCTACCCAATCTGATTAAAATGAACCGGTTTCTTTCAAAATCAGTACCACAAATAAAAACTTAGTTTACTTCTATATGTTTAAAAAAATAAACTGCCTGAAAACGATGGTATAATGTGCATTTCTAACTAAATTTGAGATTGAAAATAAGGCTTTTTTTAGTATCAAAATACATATTTAAATATTTTGAATAAGCTCTCATATTTCCAGCAAAAATCGTTTTTGTATATATTGTATAGTCCAATTCTTTCTGTTCTCACATACCCCGCCCCAAGTTGAAGATATCAATATGAGATTTACACCACTTGATCATCTTAGTTCCAAGGCAAGTTTCCTAATTTTTATCAAAAAATTTTCAAAATTGCGGGTTTTATGGGACATTTTGAAAAAATCAAAAAACGCAATTATCTCGGCTTCTAGTGGTCGCAGAACAATTTTCCGGGTATGGTTGAGCTCGTCTCAGCAAGTTCTACAACTATTCTATTAAAAGCAAAATTGTAGGTCAAAGGTCAAGGTCAATTTTTGTAAACGTAAATTTTCAAACTCAAAATTGAAAACCAGCCGACCATTTTAAATTAATTTTGAGATAGCCAAACGATTCCTCGTGAAATTTTACGTAATATATGTCAAAACTGCGATGAGGTTATTTTTTGTTTAATTTAAAAATAAATAAGAATATTAAAAAACATGGTTTTTTGCAACTCCGAAGGCAGGGTCAACATTATAATCGCATTTACCTTCAACCCTGATGATTTTAGGTAAAAATTGATAATGACCAAAGTTGATCCCCACGTCAAGACCAATCGAATGATGTATAGGTCAATGACCTTTGGTGACCTTCAGGTCATAGGTCACCCAGTTCGGCGACCTGAGGTCACCTGACCTAGATGTATGATATGTTTTTGAAAAGGTCTTGTTGAGAAGATAATTTTAGTCACCATGTTTTGGTCTGTACCTCGACTACAAACCAAATGATTGTACTTTTGTTTAATTAAATGCACAATTTTATGAGAAGTGAATTTGAAAAGTACAATTATGCGGCTTGTAGTCGATGAACAGACCAAAAATTGGTGACTTAAATTATCTTCTCAACAAGACCTTTTCAAAAACATATCATACATCTAGGTCAGGTGACCTCAGGTCGCCGACCTGGGTGACATTTGACCTGAAGGTCACCAAAGGTCATTGACCTATACATCATTCGATTGGTCTTGACGTGGGGATCAACTTTGGTCATTATCAATTTTTACCTAAAATCATCAGGGACGAAGGTAAATGCGATTATAATGTTGACCCTGCCTTCGGAGTTGCAAAAAACCATGTTTTTTAATATTCTTATTTATTTTTAAATTAAACAAAATATAACCTCATCGCAGTTTTGACATATATTACGTAAAATTTCACGAGGAATCGTTTGGCTATCTCAAAATTAATTTAAAATGGTCGGCTGGTTTTCAATTTTGAGTTTGAAAATTTACGTTTACAAAAATTGACCTTGACCTTTGACCTACAATTTTGCTTTTAATAGAATAGTTGTAGAACTTGCTGAGACGAGCTCAACCATACCCGGAAAATTGTTCTGCGACCACTAGAAGCCGAGATAATTGCGTTTTTTGATTTTTTCAAAATGTCCCATAAAACCCGCAATTTTGAAAATTTTTTGATAAAAATTTAGGAAACTTGCCTTGGAACTAAGATGATCAATTGGTGTAAATCTCATATTGATATCTTCAACTTGGGGCGGGGTATGTGAGAACAGAAAGAATTGGACTATATTTATTTTTGGCAAGCAGCAGCTGCATTATGAGGGTTTTTATAGTTAAAAAGGTAAATCTGTACATTGCATTTTTCTTGTTTGAGTTATTTAAAGACTGTTAAAATAATGAAAAAGCCATTAAGCACTTTCATTTTAAAAAGCACATTTCAAGAGCGAATTGAAAGAAAATACTTTTCAAAATCGACGTTTTTCATAAGAGTAAACTTTGTAAGTCTATTGTCACTAAATTTCCGAGTTGGAACGTTATATTTACAACCTATTTTAAGCGAGAGAAGTCAAGTGGATCGCTCTCTCATATATGTGCTCTCAACAGTGTACAAAACAGTTTTTCTAAAATTGCAATAAAGAGATTTTGAACTTTGAGCGGTGGCGGCGAGTCGAGTGGTGCCGAGAGGTAAAAATTGCTGGCGTGCTTCTTTATTACTATGTAAATAATATCTCACGCTTGGCTGCGTCGCGATAAAAGCAAGCATAGTATATAATGCACACGACGTACGTCAAGTGCAATTTTTTAAGAATTACCCGTGCATGCAGCGCACACATGCAATATTAAAAAGCCGCCCGAGCGTTTTTCAAATAAGGCAACGCTTCATCGTACACGGATATTAATTGCAAGTGTCGCCCGCCGTGTATATGCATCGAGTGGATAGACTTTATGTGCAGCACGCGCTTTTGAGGGTCGTTTACCTGCATGAGCGCCGAACGACTGCGACTGACTGAGAGTGAATTAGTGCGCTAGATTGGATTCATTGTTCCCATCTGCGTTATGCCATATTTTCATTAATTAATTAAGGACTGCATTAACTAGGAAAGCTATGAAATTTTATTAATACAAGAAAATCAACTATTCAAAAGCATTTTAA